CAGGTTAGACTCACAAGTTGCCCACTGACAAGCCAGTCAGTCCAAGCCAAAAGGGTTGTAGAATCTGGATCCTCTCAGGTCCCCATTCCAACACTGCAACCCCAAACACCACACAGGATGACTTGTTCATTGTGGCTAAATATCCTCCATAGGCTTTGCACCCCTGAGCCTCATCCTATATAGCTCTAAGGTTGAAGTATCAGGTCTCTGCTATTCTCGTGTTCCACTATGCCTCAAATGCAAGTACAGAGGCTGCTCCCAGAACTGTCCCTTCCAGATCCACCTATAAGGTCCAATGGTGTCCTGCACTAGGCCTTAGGAACAAATCCAAATACACTGGAACAAGTGTCAGGGGGCCCAGCCTGGTCTCTGTGTTACTGGTTTTAAAGAAATGGATCATATACGAAAATACTTGTGTGGTTTCTGGGCATTCATTTAAAACATGAAGCTTGTTTTGGATCACTTTGCAATCATACACACCAAGATAACTTTATTTCAATATGATGACAATATTGGTGTGTTTGAGGACAGGCACATCCATTCAGTATATTTGTACATTCATCCTTTTTTTCAAATGGGTGGGCTTCAGCTGCAATGAAGCAGAAATTACATCTGAACTGATGAGGTGTTTTTTGCAGAACCTCATGACCTGATTACAGTAGCTCTTTTACAGCAACCACTGGCATGTTTCATTAACTCTTTTCCAGTGGACGGTGGGGAAACTGATGCAACTCCCCAGGGATGCAGATTTGATTGCTCAAGTATTAGTGTACAAGATTGCTTAATGTGCTGAATGTCATCAAATCCATTCTGTGAAATTGTGCTTAGTTCCTCAGTCTCTCTTCACCAGTGGACATGTGGCTGGAGGCATGCCTGAATTATGAAATGGCACCCAAAAGTGTTTCTTCAGCACCCCCACTTGTCTGATTTTAAATATGTCATGGCTGGCTAGGGAACGCTGCAAGCTGTAGGACTTCTTTTCCGCTAGACAAGCTTCAGACTGTGCTCCCAAATTGTTCTATTTTAAAGAATATATTTTAGTTGAACCTATGATACTCATGTGTGCTGTGGCAACACGTAAGAATATGGGGCTTTATTGTTTATTTTTAAATGGTTATGTCTGCTTTAATGTTTATTTTTTATTGAAGTCACATTGAATTGGATTTTATCATAGGAAGACAAGATACAGAATACAGAGGCCCAAATAAAACAATACATAAATGAAATACTACCCATGAATTTACCATACACCAGTACTATGACAATGAAACACTGTAAACAACAAGTCTTGTGGCATTTTGTATACTAATAGTTTATACAATCAGCAGGATAGAGTGGTAAAAGTTCCCTGGGAATGGTATGATTTTAGGATGGGATGTGTGTCTGTGTCATATATGAATGCTGTCCCATGGGACAGAAATGGAAGTCATCAGTACTGCAGAAAAGTCCCCCAATCTCCGCATAATCCCATACTATGGAAAGTACTGCCATGTTTCAGGAACAATGCACTTGGCTTCTTAAAGCCTTCTTATTTGCAGTTGAGTGAAATTTCAGTTTCACAGAATGTAAATGAGAAGGAATGCATGGGGGAAATCATGGCATTTGTAACCAAGCTGAAAACACTTGTGTTATCTCTGGAGGTTCCAAAGGAATTTCATTTCAATATTTATCTCCTCTGATTAGGTTTGCTTGACCGGTCTTATGGGATTGAAAGCACACATGTAGGGCCTATGTGTGACCTATGTAGGGCTCCTAGAAGACACAGAGTTCAAGCTTTCCATGAAGCTACTAGTTGCCAGCACTGACTGATTTAGAAACTGTCGTAGGACTTCCTGCTTTAAGTCCCTAGCTGTGTAGCTAGCTATCCTTCAAAGGCAGCACATGGCATGAGAGATGTCGCAGAACAGCCTAGGAAGCAGTGTGTCAAGCATGGGTCCATCCAGGCCAGTACGGTTGACACTGACAAGTAATAGTCCTTTCTAGTTCCAGGCAAGGAGTTTTCCAGCCTTACCTGCAATCAAACCTGGGTGACTTCTATGTGCAAAGCATGCACTGTACCAGTGAGCCACAGGCTCTCCTAGACTTCACTTCAGACCAGAACATTGCAATTGAAAAGCATAAATATGTGTTTAATATGTCACAGGGTAACATTCAGAAGAAACGGTGGCAGATAAAAAGTGAGAAATAATGGCTCTCAAAATTTAAATTCTCACTTCTGCTTTCACTTTTACTTCTTCTCAACCACACCCTGGCTTTGCTTACTAACATTACCAATGCCAGCCCCTTTCTCCCGCTCCCTCCCATTACCTGTTTTTGCCTGACAACATCCAATGGACTACTTCCACCCTCTCTTCCTCTGGCCTCTGATGCAAATCACTCCTTCACTCCCTCATCTGTTCTAATGATGAAAGACCAGATTCTCCTACATGAGCCTGTCCAGGTTTTAACATCTTCAGGAGAGGCCCATCTGTCAATACACGTGCTTTTAGAGGAATGATTTTTACTAACATATTGTTTATTCCTCGTTACAGGGCATATCAAAGAAGCTAACGAAGAAAGAACCTAAAGCTGAGATCTGCTTACAGGACTTTTAAGTGCTCCAGAGAGTACTTTTCCACTGAATTTGTTTTAACTCAAAGTAGGGAGTATTTCTCATTTTAAAAATGCTGGCACAGATGCTTGCTGTCAGAACAATGGCCTATTTAGTCTCCAGTTCCACCATGATTTGCAGGGAAAAGTATAAAAGCATGATTCTAATGGGGTATTCTAGACTCATTTGAAGACTTCCAGTTTCTGAGAACATATTATTCGAGACTTCTTTGGCAATGGGGCATACACCTTGACCAACCTGGTTAAAAGAAATTTTGCAGCAGTGGCTGTCCTGGGGTTTGTGGAAGAATCTGAAGTACCTCCCCTTCCAAGTGTGCAACAGATACATCAGGAGTGTTGAATGTCTTTTATTCAAAGCCCAAATCCCATTTTATTTATTACCCTTGTATATCAGCCAATATCTGGAGCTCTGTCAGCAGTTGACAGCCATTCTAATAATCAAATACAACAAGTTTAAATTTCAAAGTTTAAAACCACAACATAAGGCCAAAATGAAAACGGCATTCTTGGGAACAGCATTTCAGTACAGTCAATGCTGAAGGCAGAAACAACATCTTTTAGCTTAAAGTTGTTCCTGCCAGTAAGAAAGCCTTAGAGGAGACATTTTGACCTTTAGAATGGAAGAAAAAGTTCCCATTCAAGGGCCTGGGAAATCACCAAATGATTGGTGTTCGAGGGAAAGAGCTGGAACTGGGGAAAAGGGCATAACTATTTGGACATCCAGTGGCTGAATGTGGCCTGAAGTTCTGAACCTGATATTATAAAAACCCAAGCATGACCCCAAAGCATCTTATACAGCAACTTTGCTTGAAGGTCAAGCAAGTCTGTGCCTGGAAACTACCCAGAAATCCCATCTACAATGCCTACAGCTTCCTTTAGGAAAGATGGATATAAAACCAAATTGTTTAGTAAAATTATTTGAAACTTGATGATGAAGCTCCAATATATGAAGGTAAAGTGAACCTTGAACCTTTACATAGTGGGTTCTATTTCCTGACTCTAAAATGAATTCTGACGCCTTTCACGGCTGGATGAGAAAGGTAAAATAGGTCTTTTGGGCAAATCTACATCTGCTGCAAACCTACAGTGTTGGGGGAATTGATTCTAACTGTGGCACACTTGACACATTTATAGCTATTTGCTCTGCTGGAATCCCTGAAGTGTGCTGTGTCTGAGGCTGGCAAAATAGTGTCAGGCTGTTACTCCTTGAGCTGTAGGGATCTAAGCAAAGGCTGGGTCAACAGGATGGCCATTTTAGCAGTGTCCATTGCAGATGGAAGTGCTTCAGTAAGAAAAATGGGGTAGACTCAACCCCCAATGCCCTGGCCTCAATCCAAATGACCCCCTTTATGCCAGTTTTTAATCAAAGAAAAAGGCATTGGAAGGAGATTTCCCATGTCACTTATACTTTGGTCCTGAGTTCTGAGATTACACTCCTCCAATGCCTCTGTTCGTGATTTCCTCTGATAAAGACAAAAATTTTAGGGAGTTGTACTTTATATTAACATATTTTTGATACCTACCTTTTTGGTGATTGATTATAACATGGATTATCATTTTAGGTCATATAATGCATGTATTTGGAATAAAGCTTGCATTCTTGAATAACTCTCAGCAGTATTATCTAATGATTCATATTTGTTTTACATGAATAACACTTACATTTTATTCCCAAGCCCTCTTTCATAATTGTGAAGTATCAAAGAAACCTAGAAACATATTTCCAATTGAGAAGCAAACATCTAGAAAGTCATATAATTCTACAAGTCTACAAAATGCAGTAAATTTGAAATGAACCAGCACACATATTTATTACAATTGTTTGTTTAAAATTAAACAAGCACATCAGAGAATACATGTATACAGGAAAACATACAAATGAATTCCAGCAACCTTATTTTTAACTAAAATGTATATTAGCCTTTTAAAAATTGCTTTGCAGGATGGGACTACAGCACAACAATATCTTTTAATGGCCAAGCCAAGAGCTTTCAATGAACCAAGTGACCTATTCTGTATAATCTAATGATGTGTCTGAGGAAGGCAGTTAAAAGTCCTATGTTCAGAAAACCATAGGAAAGCAGAATATTCCCAAATTCAGGTATTCAGTTTAAATACCTGCCTTGTCTTTGAATCAGGCTGGGAAAACATTATATTGCTAGCAACACTATTACGAGCAGGTATCAGTTTCTGTGTTCAGAGATGAGAAGCGCCATTAGTTAAAAAGATGAAAGTGAAGACAAAAAACCCCCAACCCCAAAGTAAATATTTAAAAGTCACATCTTTTATGATAAGTAGTCCTCCAAAGCAAATATTGCATGCATTACCTTCCTCCACCAGAGTTAGACAAAGTTGTGCTATCCCGAGTGGAATCATTCATTTATTTTATTTCATGAGGAAAGGTTTGAAAAAGCAGACCGCTGGGAAGAAATACTACAGACTTCTAAGTTAGTGAAGGAACTCCCAGCATCGCTGGTGTATTCTGGGTAGGAAGAACTAGAAGATATTATGTTCTTCAGCCTCTGAAGTGCAATAATTAATAGCAAAAGAAGGAAGGCCAAAAGACTGAGGAATATTGAGACATAGACATAGACATTAGACATGCGTCCAGAAGATGAATCCATGGATGTTGAGAGGGAAGTGGGATACAGCTCCAGAAAAGTTCCATTTGCCATAGTTGCTAGTAATCCAGATGTGGAATTGAGCTCTGACATTTAAAAAAAATGTCAAAAGACACCTAGTAGTCAACAACCGCTTTCCATAAAGATATTGGCATATTTAGCCATCCTTTCATAACAGAAATCCTTCACTTCTTAGGTCAGAATTAATCTGTATTGTTACCTTTCAGTGCTGTAAGGAAATAAAAGAGTAGAAAAATCAGTTAGACAACTGTATTTCAGTGATAGTTTCTGATAACTCTTTAATCAGATGCAGCACTAAAAACATTAAAAGCCAATGGTTCACGTTTCACAATTAGATCATTCTTATAGGTAACCTTAAAAGAAAAATGTTCACATATTATGTAAAATGGAACTTTTAAATGGAATCTGAACTCCAGAAACCAAGAATCAACACCTGAGCTTTGCTTATGCTTGTAACTCTTTGAAATCAACTGATAACATGAAACTGAAATCCTATATACACATACTGGGGAGTCATTCCCATTAAATTCATACTTTCTTCTGAGAAGCCAGCTTAAGATTGCACTTTAAGTAGTCTTTTGCTGAAAACAGCTGTTTGTTATGAGTTTGTAAATTTCCGTTAGGTTCATGAGCTGCTCCTATATTCATGGTACTTTGTTCCCTCATTTTTGGAAAAAGCCATGCCAGCTAGGAGATGATGAGAATAGTAGTTCAGTATATCTGTAGGTACCAGTTGGGCAGGTACCACTCCTTCCAAATACAGAATTTCAAAGAAAACAAAAACAAATCACATATAATTAGTATACTGATTGTAAGTTGGAGGGGAAATAATACCCAATAAGTCCTAAAAATAAAAAGCTTGCAATACCTTTTGATGCTGGGCAAAATCTAAGCAAGGAATGAAAAATTCTAATTTAAACTCATAACTATCAAGTGAGATTTATTTGCAAAGGAGCGGATAACACATCTACCACTAGCATGTACACTTTGTATAACATTTTCCATTCTCTGTAAAGTAAACAGAATCAAGGTTTAGTTTGCATTATAAACAATGCATGTCTTAGTCCTTTAACTGCTAGAGTTCCACAGAACACCCACAGTTAAAATGCAAATCATGAGTCTCACACAATATAATGCCTTGAATTAATTACATCCCTCATTCAAAACCTAACAGAAAGTTTGCACAGCCATTAAAAAAAAAAAAAAGCTTGGGGTGAGTTTCCATATGTGGTATACTATCAGATATCAATGTATTTTGGAACAACTTACAATTAAGTTATACACTCATACCTCCTATATAGCTTTTTATCCCTTCATCCTTGTAGGCCTTTGAAAGGCATCCCTTCTTTCTTATTTATTTATTCATTCATTCATACATACATGTATTTATAGACCACCTATAACTGCTGAAGCCTTCCTAGGCAGCTTACAATACATAAAACATATTAACAAAATAAAACACATTAAAACCAATTAAAACACAATGAATTAATGCATTCTTGCATTCACCCAACACATTATTAGAATAGTATGTGGGGAGTCATGCTCATCTGGACTGTGCAAAACACCTGCATGAGTAAAGCCAGCAAACTCCAGTTTGCCCTCCAGTGCTCGGACGGGGCACTTACACCCAAAGAGAGAACAAAAGACACCAATATGTATAACTTTGGCCTGGGTATATCTACATGTACATATTTATGTGCAGGGGTGCAGTTTTAGAAATAATTGCTATACATTAAGCAATACAGTACATCTCATCATGGTAGAGGTACCTGACTAGGTGGCCAGTGTGCAGCCCTGAAAGGGATAAAAATTGGCAATGATGCAATTGTCATTACCCAGTTAATACAGCAGAATTGAATATCAAAACCACATGCTTTCTCAGTTCTGCCCAGGTGCCAATTGGTGATGGGCACCTACAAGTCCCCTGCCTGACCTTTCTTATGGTCCTTTGACTTAGATTAGTCTGAATCAGACTTAGATTGGTCAGCACTTCAAGTAAAGAACACCTTCAAACACAAGACTCTGTAAAGTAGGCTCCCTAGAAGGGGGGATGCTAAGACTGCTTCTCAGGAGAAAAGGGAACATGACCCAGTTGCCTGTGCAATCAGGCTGATGCTTCCTGCCTCACCATGAGCACTTGCAATTTCACTGCTTGCCAGGGCTGCTCAGCAGGCTTCTGTCCTACTCTAGTTCTACTGACACCAACAATACAGTGTCAAATTGTTTTCAGACTATGTTCACTCCTCTCATTTCAGCTCAAGTGTTCAAAACAGAATGAACAACAAGATAGGAAATGTAACATGGCAGTTCTGGGGCAAACATTCCCAAAGTTTACCTTGTCCTGATAGGGTGGAGCTTTGGAGCAAGTGCGACTTGGATCACAGATCCAAGTGCTAGACAGCATGCTTCATTTCAGCTTGATTTTGCTCCTAATTTACTATGGTGGAACAGATAGCAGTGCAATACAGGAGGAAAGGCAGGCTTACAGGCTGGAATCTATGCCCTGGGTCACCCTAGCATGTGCCACCAATATTCTGGGCCTTTGACCAGCTTCTCAGGCTCAGCTCTGTAGGAAAAAGGCCGTCCTGTAGGGCACATGCTGAAGATGGCCCACTGACTTTCAACTGAGAAGCTCCAAATCTTACAAAGCCCTTTCTTTTAGGTAAGCATAGCAATATGAGCAATTCACTGTAACAAGTATTAACAAAGATTCTCTCCAGCTTGTCTGCTTTGTCTCCATCAGGATGCTGTCCAATGTGATACGAGATCCCCAGCCTATTGATGGCTCTGTCTCTTCCCTGCGACCCTCTGTGACTGAATCTACAAGAGAACTCACAACCATGTCTCCTGCTTCTGGACCACCTAATGATCACCTGACCTGTCCTTGACCCTGACTCGCTTGCAGCCTACAAGAATAAACAGCTGGAGAGCTGGATACCGCCTGTCTATTAAGTTCTCAGCTCAACAGCTGAAATGAAAAATAGTGTAGAGAATTCATCTTCACTTGTTACACTGTCCATTCTGAATGGTATGGCCAGCACTGCATTGTCTGCTTATTTGTAATGCATAGAAAAGTAATAAGAGCAGAGCCTGTTCAAAAAACAGGGTGTGTGTGAAAGAATGAAAGAGAAAGAAAGATTGATCAGATCTGTGCATGGAGATTTACAGTGATGTATGATGTACACTGATAAATCATGCATTCAATTTGTGCATCACAAAATGGACTACAAATCCAATTAAAAGGGGGGGTTGAAAATTAAAGAAATGTAGAGTGAGTGTCACATATGTGCACAAGATGCTGCTCATTTGTTTTAGGGCCAAATATATCTTCCATTTGCCTTTGTAAGTAGACAATGCATCTAACAGATCTCCTATTTAAATCACTCTGAATGACATCTGTTTGTATATCTACAGAGAAAGGGAGAGAGAGGAGCAAATTATACAGATGAGTCCAGTTTTCTGATATAGTCAAACTGGAGAGAGTAAGCAACATTTAAGAGCCAGGCATGATTCCAGAAAGAGAGTCTCATATCAGCTGCTGATGGGATCACGTCAATCTCAGTTCCATATACTGCAGAAAACCTAGTGTTCTTTCAGATAACCTTGGTTGCACACTGTTCTCAAGTCCCTTACATTTTCATTGCCTGTGGTTCCTCTCTGTGCATAACTTGATTTTATCTTTCCATTTTATCCACCAGCCTTTGTGAAAAAGGCAACTGCAGAGGCTCTATTTGCAGCACAGGGGCTGTATGAATTATACAAAGGCAGAAAAGCAAAGAACTTAGGACCATTTCTGGCAAATGGTTTTTAGCTCAATAAATGTGCACGTGCTGCTGCAGGGGCAGCCAGCCTGGTGTCCTCCAGATCTTTTGGAGTATAACTTCCAAGCATCCCTGCTGAGATGGCCCATGTTCAGGGATGATGGGGGTTGTAGTCTGAAAGATCTTCCAGGCACTGAGTTGCCTGCCTTGAGTGGTCCAGAGCTCTGTCATGATTCACTACCTTCCAGTCAGGCTCAAACCAGAACTGAATGAGAGTTCAGAGGAGGACCCTACCCCACTACCACTTCTAGCATCCCGACTTTCAGGAAGTGCTCCTTCTGGAGGCTGAACATTTGGGGCCAAGCTGACTGTTCTCACCCTCCTGGCTCCGGAATCTCCAAAATCGCGTCCAGGACCCAAGCAGCAGAGCCAGCAGTGAATTAAGGCAAAGGCCCAGAACAGAAGGCACAAGGTCTGCCTGGCACTTTTCAGGTCTGCCTCCCATGAACCCTACTTGGAACAGAGCAGTTAAAAGTAAGAAGATTGCTATGGATCAGGGCCCTGTTAACTTCCTAGGAAGGTGTAGGGCGGGAGAGATAGCTATCTAGCTCTTCAAGAGGTGCCTGAAAGTTGCTGGTGCAACATCTCATCAAGCTAAGCTACAAGACCAGTGTGATTCTGCAGCTGGAAAGCTCTCTGGATTTCTTGGGAAACATTTTTCCCTGACCTGCTGGATTTCTTGGGAAACATTTTTCCCTGACCTGCTGAATCAGGTCCCTGGACTCACTTGTAAAATGAGAATATGGAAGCAAAGCTAGATGCACCTTATGAAAAGCTCCATTTGGACTAGAGTGCAGATCCGGAACAGAGTAGGAGGCAGACTCAAAGCCCACCTATCCTTGCCCACCTCCTCTCTGGGTCCCCACATCTGCTTTTTTTCTGTTTCACAGTTAATTGCATGAAAGTCTTCTTATCTAATTTGGATCTGAGCCATCCAGCGACCGTGGCAGGTGACAATGCACAGATGCAAGGCTGTGGTTCGGCCTGGCAAGACTCAAGCTGTGCATGCCTGTTTTAAGGACAGGCTATTGGTTTATGTTTTTGTTCCCTTCTAACCCAAATGGGGTGCTACAAACAGGAATAGGCCTTCTAGCATCACTGGAGATTTGTACACTCTCACAAAAAGTGCCCAGACTGGAAATTAAGATTGCTAAATGACAACTACAGCTCTACTCCTGCCAAATGATTTAGTCTGGGGAGTCTGGTAGAATGTCTGACACAAATCTAACCATAAGTTCAGAACAGCTT